GTCGTCATCGTCATTATCATAGTGATAACAAAAAAAAACCAAACCAGAATTATTATCATAAAGATAATCAAAAACTATGAACCTGAAAAAAGTGTAATCATTGAATCTATCAGAGTTTAATATTATCTCTATGTTCAATTGATGACAATCAATTTTATCATCATGATTGAGCATTAAATCATCGTCTTCATGGTCGTCAGCTGATAATACATAATCATGTAGCTTATTATCATCATGGTGAATGTTGCATAATAATTCAAATGAGTATTAATAACAGCTAACGAAATAGTCAATAATCATGAAGTAAACAGGCAAAAAAAAGTATATTCAATATGAAATAAGATTCAACTCTGAATATTTATCGTGATATTGATTTGGTGAAACAGGGATGATGATAATATGTACATGGTGGGTGGAGGTTGGGTGGGTAGTGTGAGATGAGAAGAAATATTTTCTGTTAATTCTACATCAATAGAATATTTTTCTCTCTTTTTCTCTGTCTTTGTTCTTTCTTTTTGCCCCTGAAATCTTCTCTCTCTCTCACTCTCTCTCTCTCTCTCTCTCTCTCTCTCTCTCGCATCTTCATGATACTTCTCATCATCATCTTTAGGCGGTGTGTTTATCCCTTCCACTTTTTGCCTTATCTTTACTATCAATCACTGAATCAGCAGAAAGAGAGGAAAAAATCTTCCCCTTCTTTCAATAACATTTCCCTTGGACTGACAGTTTGTATCCCACCCTCTTCCTCCTCCTTTCACATCTCCCACTATTCATGGTTCCGATAACATTTTTGTTATTATATTATTATCATATGATAATGATAATACCATGAAAATATCATCATCAACATGATGATATTGTTATATATTAATGTACAACAGAAAAGTAAGTGATAACCATATTATCACCACTGAATCTGATTCAATGAAATTTTATCGTTACTCAAAAAAATCATCTTCTAGTGTTCTAATTAGTTTGTTTTCTATTTAATTATTTGCAGAGAGAGAGAGAGAGAGAGAGAGAGAGAGAGTACGAGTCGAAATACAAATTCTGTGGAATTTTCCATTTTCATGAATTCTGATGATTATTTTTCTGGTTATTTACTTTTTCTGTTGACAGTTTTCTGAACTTCTTTTATTATTCTTTTCCCTCTCTTTAAGTTCTAGCGAATGATAATAAAACGATAACATCTCCATGTGAGAGGTCTTTCCTCCCTTATCTCCATCTATCTCACTCATAGTGATGGATAATAACGCATAGACGATAAACTGTCAACTCCCATAAGAACGAGAGAGTATAAAAAAAAAGTTCTTTTGTTTTTGTTTATTCTTTTTTCCAGATAGAATCAAAATCTTGTATCTTATCTCTCATGATGATGAAGACAATAAATAAACATTACCATGAGAGAGATGAGAAAGAAGAGAAGAGAAAAAAATTCTGATGAAAATCAAGAATCTACGAAGAAAAATATAAACTTTTATCTTTTTCATCTTCTTCCATTTTCAAGTGGAATACGTCGATAAAACTTTTCCATTGGCATTTTCATCTTAACTTTTTTTTTCGATTTGAAGGGAAAAAAAGTTCTTTTACTATCTTTTCGTCATCTTCATCTTCATCTCCATCCTAATCTTTTTTAGGTTCAAGTCAACAATTCAAAGTCAACCTAAAGATGATTTCAAGGTAAGTGGGTGTGAGAATCAATATCAACAGAATCATTTTTCATGGAAACGAATAAAAAAACTTTCAAAATGCTCATCATATTGTGAGATTACAATTAACTAAATTGACTAATTGTTACACTATAATTCATTCAAAGTATTATATCATCACATGATAATCAATGGAAATTGGGTAAAATTGTGCAATCGTATCATTAACTCAATGAATAAACTCATTAGCATGATAACAACTCGAATTGTTGATCAATTGAAGGTTTAATTGAAGGTAGTAAACAAGAGAGAGAGAGAGAGAGAGAGAGAGAGAGAGAGATAATGAAGAGAAAAAGTTTGTTTCAAGTTTCGAAACTCAGACTGAACAATAATTCGTGATGAACATGAAACAGATTAACTTATATTAGCTCATTTTATGAGATTCCTTCACTTACCCAGAGCAATTATCTTAATCAAATTAAATTTGATGATGATTTGAAGATATTGGTCCAAACAGATGAATAATTAAATTGAACAGATAAATCATGAATCCATTTTGATGAAATTTTTCATCTTTCAAGTTGATCAAATTAAATTAACGTTAATCATTTCAAGTACTCACTATTAATTTACAAAATTGGAATATCATCTCTATATCTGAACGTAAATATATAATTCTTTGAAAATATTACCATGAAATAATAGTTACACTCAATATGATAAAAGCCCTGAGGGTATTTCATAAAATACAATATTAATTCAGCTTGAAAAGTTTATTATCAAATTAATATCATGTCTACTTTCATACCATATTCAGTATGAGATATTATTATAACAGATAGAGAATTAGAACTCGAATTAATATTGATTCGAAAAAAAGTTCTAATTTAAACTTTTCGAAAGTTTAATCTCTTTTGATTCTTAGGCTTTTCGATTCCATGCTGATTGCGAAAGTTTCATCACTTGGATGAGGAGATGTTTCATATTAACTATGAATTATATTGATCGAAATGATTTGCTAATTTTTTCATATTCTTCTGGAACTACAAGTCGAGTAGCTTTTTTTTATTATGTTCTAGAACTTGATATCTGAATGTGTATTAGAACCTAAAAGTTATCGATCCATCGAGAGAGTTTTATTACTGTCATGTTATTGAATATATATCATGAATGAAAATTTCAGGTTCTAAAAGATTTACTATCAAGACGAAAATGAAGACGATGTAATAATAATGATGATCGAGGAGAAAGTTCTGAATATATTTTCGAATTGAAACAAAGGTGAAGAAGAAAGAATGAAAAAGAAACGAAAGAAAGAGAAAAATGTTTTCCTTTTCTTTGGAAAAATTTTCTCTTTACTCACAATTTTTTCGATTTAACAATATTTCCATCTCTCTCTCTCTTCCCGATTATACAATTCTTAATTTACTTTCTCTTTTCTCACGGATGACAGAATTTTCTGCTCTGAACATACATTTATCTCGAGAGAGAAAATATCTCTTATTACAAGAGAAGAAGAAGAAAAAAAATTGGACATTCGAGTTTATTTACCTTCTATCTAATTGATTACAATGGACAATTAACTATCGAACGGAATCAACATGTCAAGTTCCCATGTGACGTTCATGGTGGTTAGAACTTTTATCGAATCGAAAATGCTGCAGAATAGAAAATTCTCCTCTAGCCCCAATCTCTCTCTCTCTCTCTCTCATTCTCTTTGTAGTGTTCGTGACTCGACTAGGTAATGTTATATCAACATGATAATCATGATGATGATAATGATGATGATCATTTTAAATCGAGAACATTTTATAACATTTTCATTATTTGTGTAGCAATTATATATTATTTTGTATCGAATTTTTTTTCCATTCCAAAAATTTTCAGAATAAAAAAACAGTTCTCAAAGTAAACTTATCATGAAAAGAGATACCCTTGGATTCCAATGAGGTACTTAAAATGGTTGATAAGATGATCTATTAAATGGTTAGTAATGATTTCGTCTGAATTTTATAAGAAAAAAGATTCAGTTGAAACGGAATCATGAGATTAAAGTAAACAATGATCAAGGAAAAAAAGAAACTTCGAATTGAATAAACTTTTCCATTTCCAAAAGAAAGAAAGAAAGAAAGAAAGAAAGAAAGAAAGAAAGAGAGTATTAGAATTCTGAAAATGATCCTCAGAATTTATCTGACGAATAAGATAAAATAGAAAGAGGGGAAAAGAATAGACTCAAAATTCTGAGAGATTTTTCTCTTCAAAGTTACGAACTTTTTTTAAATTCAGTCCAATTCAAATATTCCAAGTGTTTGGAATGTTAATTAATAACAATTTAGTGTTACTATCAATTCTTGTTCTAATTATTCAATGTGTTGGTGATAATTTCATGATAAATTTGATTCGAAGACATTGATGTTCATGTGATTAATTTGAGTAGAAAATCAATTCTGAAGGAATGAAATTGTTGAGCAGTAGTTTTTTTTGCTTCTTATTCTTTTTCATGATGATCATCAACCATGTGAATAGTTCTGAAAGTTCATTTGTATTAATATACTAAAGTAATAAATGTTTTTTTCTTTGCAACAGAAAAATTCCTTTGGTGTATTTTTCATTCTCTCCATGAATAAGAACAGAATAATTTCATGATAATATTCATATGATGATGATGGTACAAAAGGATTCCAATGTTAATCAATGCCCCATGGAATAGAAGCAAAAAAAACCTCGAATCAGAAAATGAAGAGAGAACGAAAAAGAAAGAGAGAGAAGATAGAAGAAGATGACTAAAGAAGAAAGATGAAAATAGTGTTGATAATGAGAGAGAAAGAGAGAGAGAGAAAAAAATTCTATTCAGCCTTTGGAATCCTTTAGAATGCTAATAGTTAACCCGCTCTTCGTCACCACACTTGATGTGATTCCCTATTGGGTTCCCAAATTATGCAAACAACAAGCAAGAAAAAAATATCATCAGTGTAGAAATGATAATAATTATCACCATCAACACCATCAGAATCACTGATTATTAATCAAGGTGAATTATCAACAGAAAAATATTCAGCTGAAAATTGAGTAATTGATGGAGAGGAAAAAAAAAGTTGAAGGTTCCAAATAATCACCAGGGAGATATGATGAGTTTTCATGGTAAATAAATGGTTAAGAAAATAAAAACAAAACAAAGTATTCATGATATTCATGGTATTCATTAATTACGCTGAAATTACAATGAGTTGAAATTTTTTGATTGCAGAAATTACTTGGTTGGTTGTTGGCTGTTTGTTTACTTGTCAGCAAGAAATGTAAACAGATTAATTTATTACTTGATTAAGAGAAAAGGATTAGTGTTAATCTTACCTCAGTATCTTTGGGTACAATGTCAAGAGTGTATCCTGAAAGTATCGTTGGATCAGCGTTGATATGTTTAAGTGCTAAGTTTACCGCCGGCATAACACCCCGGCCTATTGAACCTTCCGGTATTTTCGAGTTGAGCGGGAAAAATCCGGCAGTGTAAAGGGTTTTGGGGGCTCGGGCCGATTTGGTACTTCCCTTTGGCCCACCCAAAGTCCCACTGCCTCTGGCACTCTTTTTACTTTTACCTGTTATCACACCGATATCATTAATACCGTTATCTTTACCGTTGATAACACCGGTACTTGATGATTTGGTTTGGCTGATGGTATTGGCAGTGGTTGTTTTTGTTGCTATTGTTGGTGTTGTTGATGTTGATGATGGAGGTTGTGGTGATGGTGGTGGTGGTGGGGAGAGTGAGACTGTGGGTGAAGTGTACACAACATGATCACCATTGATTAGTATTAAACTGATCGTGGTAGCAATCAATATAATCCATTTGATCAAAGTATTGGTTACACAATTTAAATTAAACTTATCACAAATCATTGTGATTGTGTTGAGGGTTTTTTTTGTTGTTGTTTATTGCTACAAATTAACTTAATTTAAACTAAAATGATTTGATGATTATTATTGTTGTTTATGTTTTTATTAGATGATGAAAGTTTGTTTTTTGTTTGTTTGTTTCTGTTGATGATGATTACTGATGGTTATGATTGTTGATGATGATAAGATGGTGATGATAATGATGTTGATTGTAATTGAATGTTGACTTGGAACAGAAAAAGAAAAACTTATTCGAACAAGAATAATAATAAAACTTACTCCAAGTCGAACTGAAAAAAAGTAAACTTAGGATATTTTCTCTGATAGTAAACTGAGTGAGAGAGAGAAAAGAAATTTGTTCGAAAAAAAGAATCCACTCAGAAAGACTAAAATGGAAATGTTCACATAGAACTAACTCGAACTAAATCATGATAAGAATCGATTCAAATTCCATGGTAACAGATAGTTCCATCTACATTCTTCGACTCTAATCAACAAAATGTTCTAATACTGCTCTCTCTCTCTCTCTCTCTTTGTTTCGTAAGCCAATAGATTCGAGGCTCGAGTATATAATGTTTATTATCGATTGATGTTCCAATCAAATTTCCACTGCGACTGACAGAATTTAACTTTAAACAACATTGACTTCTCCCATCGTTACCATTACCACTTTGTCTTCAACAAGCCATTTGAATTGCGAGAGATAGAGAGAAAGAGAGAGAGAGAGAGACTTAGAACCGGCTTAGCAATTCGAGGTAAGAAAAGAAAACAATAAATAAGAACAACGATTTTGAAAAGAAAAAAAATTCGAAATTTTCACCAAAGTGCTAATTAGTTCATAACGGTAATCATTTTACTTTTTATTATCTTTCTTCATTTACTCAACCGATGAAATTAAATACATATCACATCAAGTGAGAAACAATAATTTATTTTAATTACATACATTTACTATCCTTAAGATGACCATTAGACCAGACTAATGATTGTTTAAAGGGAGAGAGAGAGAGAGATGAGAGAGCAAGTGGATGAGTGAGTGAGAGAGGGTGAGTAGTAGATAATATTAGCACGTATTATCATCAATATCATCAGGTAGAGAGCACTAGTGTCGAGGGGTTATCATTATCTTCATCCTTATCATTACCTTGTGTATCCTTTTTAAACTTGCTCATCATCAAACTTGTCTTATCCTTCTTGCTCTCTCTCTCTCTCTATCTCTCTCTATCTCTCTCCCAATCTCACTCATCTCCCTCGTCTCTTTTTCACTCTCTCACTTTGCTGCTTATTTTATACACAAACATTTTTATCCCATTTATCACATCACAAACAAAACAAATCAGTTTACCTGTTGTAAGTTACTTGCTGTTCAAATAACAGGAAACACGATACTTTTACCATTTACATGATAATCGTGCTAACGTGTTTTCATCATTGAATTAATGTTAATTATTGTTATTATTAGAATTGTTCTGGAAGAAAAAAAGTTCTGAAGAAACAAAATCAGAACTTGAAACTTTCATCATTGATCTTTAAGGAGTCAACCCAATAACTTTACTTTCGTTACAACTTTAACCAATCAAACTGGTCAACCTAAATCACCATTGGTCAATTGGATTAACGGAATCATCGTTGTGATTGAATATTCATCATGTGTCCATTTGAACCTTGAATTTATATTTCGAGGGTAAACAAAAATAACGGTAATTTTGTTTTGTTTTTCTTGTTTCTTGTTTCTTGTTTTCGTAATTAAAACTTCAAGTGTTGACCTGAGACTGACCGGTTTAAGGAACTGAACCTGATTAAGATCATCAATATCATCACAATATTATTATAATTGTTGTTTTGTGGCTCAAGTGATTTAATCAATTTGATTGATAAAATAGAAAACAAGTAACCAAGTTAATTGCAGTTTCCAATATCTGGTGATTTATCCGGTATATAAATCATTGATTAACTGAATTAAGGATTACCAATCAATCGGATTAAGACATTTTGGATTACATCTTGCCGGATAGAGAAACAAAAAAATGATCACCTTGATTCATATTAATGGTCCATCATCATCTTCATCACCAATTTCAACAACTGAATCAGAGGATGAAGGTTTCTCTGAAAATAGTTCATTAACTGGTGTAACAATTAAGGGACCTTCAGGTAGTGTCCGAGGGATTAAACATTGTGTCCGTCAAAGTATTAAAAGTTATTATGAGTAATAACTGCTGGCTTTGACTCATTTCATGAGCCAAAGCTAAGCAGTTTTATAAGTTTCATTTCTTTGAGGAGATTAATGAATTTAATAATTTTTATATTAATTTAACTATTAAATCATAATTTTTATTACGATTTATTAATGATCAATGAAATTGATTCAATGTAAATATTAAACTGAATATTCGATTTAAAGATTTTGTCCTCAATTTTTATATTGAAATATATTGAGTTCCACACATTTTACGATTGGAATTGCTTTCAAATTAGATTAAATTTTCTGCATAATTAATTCATATACAGTATGTATTTGTATAAATACAGAAACAGAAAATTGAAAAATTATCATTCAAAGTTTGATAACCAAACAGAAAAGAACGATATTAATTGATCAAAGTTTGAATTCATTGAGTTCTTTCTTTTACATGAGATTCAATCTGAATTAAAATGTAAGTATAGTTTGAATTCAATAATCAATAGATTATTATGTATAATAATTCTAATCATTTTTGTTTGATTATTTTTTCCCCTTTGTGCCAGCTTATTGTGCTTTCATCATTGGTTTTTTTTTTTACACCTGGTTATCGATAACGTTATCCAATAATCCATCAACGATAAAAGTAAGGAAGAAAGTTATCTTAAGCTAGATTGAAGAGTTTGGAATGAAATTCTTCAGTTTATGATCTCAATGATAATTTATCAGAACTTTTCAGTTCTTTTGATGAGTTTTGAAAATTTTTCAGTTTATGATCTCAATGATAATTTATCAGAACTTTTCAGTTCTTTTGATGAGTTTTGAAAATTCTTTCAGTTTATGATCTCAATGATAATTTATCAGAACTTTTCAGTTCTAGTGATGAGTTTTCTTTGAAAATCTTTCAGTTTATGATCTCAATGATAATTTATCAGAACTTTTCAGTTCTAGTGATGAGTTTTCTTTGAAAATTCTTTCAGTTTATGATCTCAATGATAATTTATCAGAACTTTTCAGTTCTAGTGATGAGTTTTCTTTGAAAATTCTTTCAGTTTATAATCTCAATGATAATTTATCAGAACTTTTCAGTTCTTTTGATGAGTTTTCTTTGAAAATTCTTTCAGTTTATGATCTCAATGATAATTTATCAGAACTTTTCAGTTCTTTTGATGAGTTTTGAAAATTCTTTCAGTTTATGATCTCAATGATAATTTATCAGAACTTTTCCGTTCTAGTCATGAGTTTTCTTTGAAAATTTTCAGTTTATGATCTCAATGATAATTTATCAGAACTTTTCAGTTCTAGTGATGAGTTTTGAAAATTCTTTCAGTTTATGATCTCAATGATAATTTATCAGAACTTTTCAGTTCTAGTGATGAGTTTTGAAAATTCTTTCAGTTTATGATCTCAATGATAATTTATCAGAACTTTTCAGTTCTAGTGATGAGTTTTCTTTGAAAATTCTTTCAGTTTATGATCTCAATGATAATTTATCAGAACTTTTCAGTTCTAGTGATGAGTTTTCTTTGAAAATTTTCAGTTTATAATCTCAATGATAATTTATCAGAACTTTTCAGTTCTCTTTGATGAGTTTTGAAAATTCTTTCAGTTTATGATCTCAATGATAATTTATCAGAACTTTTCAGTTCTTTTGATGAGTTTTCTTTGAAAATTCTTTCAGTTTATGATCTCAATGATAATTTATCAGAACTTTCTACTAGTCATGAGTTTTCTTTGAAAATTCTTTCAGTTTATGATCTCAATGATAATTTATCAGAACTTTTCAGTTCTAGTGATGAGTTTTCTTTGAAAATTTTCAGTTTATGATCTCAATGATAATTTATCAGAACTTTTCAGTTCTAGTGATGAGTTTTCTTTGAAAATTCTTTCAGTTTATGATCTCAATGATAATTTATCAGAACTTTTCAGTTCTAGTGATGAGTTTTCTTTGAAAATTCTTTCAGTTTATAATCTCAATGATAATTTATCAGAACTTTTCAGTTCTTTTGATGAGTTTTCTTTGAAAATTCTTTCAGTTTATGATCTCAATGATAATTTATCAGAACTTTTCAGTTCTTTTGATGAGTTTTCTTTGAAAATTCTTCAGTTTATGATCTCAATGATAATTTATCAGAACTTTTCAGTTCTTTTGATGAGTTTTCTTGAAAATTCTTTCAGTTTATGATCTCAATGATAATTTATCAGAACTTTTCAGTTCTAGTCATGAGTTTTCTTTGAAAATTCTTTCAGTTTATGATCTCAATGATAATTTATCAGAACTTTTCAGTTCTTTTGATGAGTTTTCTTTGAAAATTCTTTCAGTTTATGATCTCAATGATAATTTATCAGAACTTTTCAGTTCTTTTGATGAGTTTTCTTTGAAAATTCTTTCAGTTTATGATCTCAATGATAATTTATCAGAACTTTTCCGTTCTAGTCATGAGTTTTCTATGAACATTCTCAGTTAATGATCTCAATGATAATTTATCAGAATTTCTTTAGAATTTTCTCATTAGAGCTATATAGTTTATTTTTGCTTTTATTATTTAAGAAATGGTTGAACCGAACAAAGTGGACCCTAAAAAGGATTATTTGAAATCAAATCCTGAGAATAATGAAACTGTCTACAAGTACGAACTTGAACAAATAAAAATGATGACCAAATTGGTTCATTCGGGCATCACAACTGATCAGCTTTTCAATTTATACATAACATTAAAAGAAGACATGAAACCTTTAAACTTATCAAAGGATAATAATGGTGGAACTGACGAATGGGTTGGTCTTCCAAAAATTCCCGAAAACAAAGACAAAGATGCTAAGGATAAAAATAAAGATAAAAAAGTTAGAATTATCCAGCTGATAAGCAATCCTCCAAAATAGTCCATATGACAACTGATATTAAGGAATTTCATGGAAATTTTAGTTTTTCTTTATGTCTTCATTTACTCTATTTAGGTTTTTTTTAATTAGTTACTATTGTTATTTCTTATTTTATTCCATTAAGCGGTTAATTGCAATGTAATTCAATTCAACCCAAAATAAGATTTTTTTCGTCTTGTTGACTAGAATGGCTCAAGTTATGCTACCATCAACTTCAACTAAGCAAAAAGGTCAAAAGCGTATCGCTAAGAAAAAACCACCTCAAGATGAAGATATTGAAATTTCTATTGATCTACCGAAAGTTGTTAAAGAGACAGAAATGAAACGTAAAATTGATGAGGAAATGCGAGATGATGACTCGAAACGGATGGTAGTACCACATCATCTGCTTCCAGCGGAAAAAGAAATCGTAGAAATGAAACAGTTGCGGCAATGGAAATGGATCTTTTCAATATACCAGGAAATCGTAATAAGCGACCTTCATCTGATTTCAATGTTCAAAATCAATTCAGAGTTTCGGACAATCTGGTTTTCTTCACAAGCTCAACTTATAGTGGTATCAGGACAGGTAAAATTAGAAAATATTGGTTGAAAGACGGAAGCATCAGGTCTCAGCGTATGGTGGCGAGATGTTGAAAGCGGATATACCGAAATTTGTATCATGGTTACAAAAAACCTATGCGACATGGCAAGAATGATGAATTGGTTGACTGGATTAACGCTCAATGGAACTATTAAGAAAACTTTTTTTGTTTATCAGAGATTAGATGTTTTAGGTTTTTTCAAAATTAGTAAATGTATCACTTTTGTTTAGATGTAGACGAATAAACTAATAAGCATTCAAAAATTTTGTCTCGATTTTCTGAACATTTAACTGGTTTAATAGCCAAATGATTTATTCACCCAACCTTTGTTTTAACGTTTTAAAATAATTTTGATTTTTTCTTATCTTTTCAGATGACTTCAATTTATGAAAAATATCGTACATGAGATCCAACCCTAAAAACTGAATGATTATTTCAATAAATTCATGATAAATCGTTGGAAAATAAATCAAAAATGTCACGTCCTGCTCCAGCCTCTGTTAAGGAATTTTATTGAAAAAGAGTAACACTTACGAAGCAATGCTGGAATATTTGAAAGTTCGATGTGAGGCCAGTCGTAACATTGATGGTAAAAAGGTCACTGGTCTTCTTGTTTCAGCTGCTCGTTTATTCGAAATCTTCATTACGCATTACAACGAGTCAAATATGGATGAACCATTTGAAGATTTCAAATTCATTGTTGATGATTTTAATGCCTTGTGTTCGGATATCAAGATTGTCCCGATTAAAAAAGAATAAATGTATGAATTTTGAAGTATTATGCATAGTCTTAGTTAAGAATATTTCTTGTCGAAAAATTTATTGTTATCATAACACAAATAGAGTTTTACAATAAATGTCATATAAGATGTAGATATTATTAATATTTTAAAATCTAATGTTATTTTTTTTTAATTAATCAAAGTTATTGTCTAAATCTATTTTTATATATTTAGTTTAAATCAGAACAAACTAATTTATCCTTCGAAACTATCCAAAATTTTAATTTATTCCAGTTGAACCAAATCCTGCGGTTCCTCTTCCAGTTTTCAGCAAAAATAGATCACAAGAAGAAAGCTCATAAGCATTATATACTTCGCAAAATGTGACTCTAGCTATCCTCTCACCAGCACTTATCAAAACAGGCGTCTTAGTCGTGTTAGTCAGATGTAATTTCAGCTCTTTGAATAAACTATTTTCCACAACATTTTCTGACGTATCAATTCCATCAATTGTAAACGATCGTCTTCCTGTGATAAATCCATAAGCATTTGGTCTAAAGTCAAAGCTTATTCCAGTCCAAACTATAGTACGAATTGAAGGTTCTAAAATTATATCTTTTGGTGCGAAAAGATTATAAGAAGCAGCGTTTTACTAGCCAACTCAGGTAGCTTAATGTATCTAGCCTTTCGTGATACCAAGATGCTTTTTCGTCGGTATCATTTTCGAGTTCAATAGGAAAATGGTGTTGAGTTCGTCATAGCTTTTGTCGTATTCTTTCAATCCCAGACACGGCCATATTTTACAAAATATAATTTGCGCAAAACGATCTGCTAACTTA